TGTGGAAAAGGATCTAGCATTGTTAAGTATTTCCCACAATTGGGCATAATGTGAGCCGTTTTCCTCATGTCATCTCACAGCTCACCACGTTAAATAGGTATTATCATAATCATTCAATTCATGTGGACTTACTGACCACTCATTTCTAGCTTTGATTCTTTCTGCCTATCAGTAGCCAGCCAGACCTAGGACTGTTTGGACAGCCCTGGTTCTTTGTTTCCTTGCTTCTTTAATCATTTTGGCTGGGTGATGAGCAGACTGGGCCCACATCTCTGGTCACTCAGGAGACCCCTTCTAAAGCCAGGCAGTCTTGGCAGTCTTGGCAGCCTCGGCTGCTCATGCTCTGACACATTCTATTGCTTTCCAGGTGACTAGGAAGTGAGCAGCTGCGGTGAGTCCCCCACTGCCTTTCCTCTGCCTCCAAGTGCTTCTAGGCAGGCTGCTGTTCCTGGAGCTGCCACTGTGGAAGCTTGTGGGGCTTTGTGGGGACTTGGTGGAATCTGACTTGTCAATCCTTAGCCTGCTCCTCTGAGTCAGGCTCTCCCCAGCTGACTCAGTTATCGATAGTCCCTCCCTTGTGGCTGCAACATTGGATATTGCTTTCCAATGACTCATCTACAAATCACCATCACCTATTATGAGAGGAAGCTAGCCCCACTTGTAATCATCACTGTCAACATCCCATGGTTGTCACTTGTCCCTATAGCTGTTCTGAATGCTATGTTACTATGGGAGTAACAAAAACCACTGTTTTCTTCTGGGAGAACCCCATAAGCAGAGACCAGATCAATCTCTATCAGAACCATATTAGAGTATTAAGCATAGCCTCACTCAACTTGCATTACATCCCATATATGTAATGTCCTTGTCCCTGTCCTTGAAGAGGACCCACAGCAGCACATGGGCAGGGTCAGCAGCAGCATTCCTCATGTACAGAAGAGGAAACAAAGGCTAAAGAGGACATGGGATTTGCCTGAAGCCAGAAGAATCTTTCACAGAACACTGTTGGTAGTGGGGTTGATCTTGTATATTCTTTGTACCTCTATGATCTTAACAAATGTTAGTCACATGAAGCCAAGAGTACCCTGATTTAACTTACAAATATCCAGGGCTCTCTGATCTTATCAAAGCTGACCAGTGAGTAGCAAGACAGGAGTTTTAAATCCAGGACTTCTCATTCAACACAGCTCTTGAACTATGATTTTCCCACTGAACTACCATGACCTGATTGAGTTCTGACAGCAATGGATGAAAATGCTCTCAAGTCTGGCTGCTGGGTGGGCTCAGAACACCTCCAAACTGCCTAGCCTTTGACTTCAGCCAGGTTAATTGGCTTCACTGGGTGTCTTTATCTGCAATATGGAAGATGATAGCAAAAATGTGTTTCATTGTGTTTTTATTAGTACTAAGTAAGAAAACACCTGTAAGGGGTAAAGCAGTGACTGGCTAGTACATTTTGGAAGTACTAAATAAATTTTAGCTATAGCTGTGTTATTACTCAAGGGTACAAACTAGGCTTTATATGTCATTGTAAGCCCTGACCAGCCACAGTGACTGACATACTGTCATGAGAACAGGATTGCAGACACTCAACTTGACAAAATAAATCTTGCGATGTGACATGAAGCAAGTTTCCTTCTTCCTGGGCCTTAGTTACTACATCTATAAATTGAAAAGTTTGAACCAGGCCAATCTCATAGTTTCTCCCAGCTCTACAATGCTCCATAGAACTGACTTGTTCTCAGTGTGAATGTTTCTGCTGAGAGAGGACACTACAAAAATATCTGGGGATGTTTTTGATTGGCACATCTGGGATGGGTGCTAATGCTCTGGTTTAGTAGAGGCCAGGGCTATTGATAGAAAATGCACAGGACAACCCCACATAACAAAAAACAATTCTTCTGCCCCAAATATCAGTAACATGAAGCCAAGAGTCCCTGATCTAACTTACAAATACCCTCAGCTCTCTAATTTGCTGGACAAGGGTTTTGTGTCTGCCAAGTTGCCAAGATGCCCAGGAGAACAGAACTCCTCGTTGCAGTAGAATGGGCTATTGATTGTCCCTTGTGCTGACACCTCATACTCTCATTCTATTGATCTAGTTTGAAGCAAGAAGCTGGCCCAAGGCATCTTTAATTTAAAGTTGGAATCATTCCTGTACATCACCGAAGCCCACAATGGCTCTGCCAAGGATGGGGAGAATATTCCTCCCCCTGAGATTCTTGAGCCTAGGACAGGGACAAAGTCTCTCTAGATGTGGTGGTCCACATCACCAGTTCTGTCTCTGCATAATCCTTATTCCCCTCTCCTGTCTCAGTTCACACCCTGCAGAAGCAGCCCAACCTCCCTGGTGACCAGGACGAGGTCACATTGGGCAGTGGAGTAAAGCTGGAGCTTGGTGGTTATGGTAGCCTTAAGGAATTTCATGGTCTATCTACATAGTGGGGTGGTGGTCCCCTCGGTCTCATCATGTGTGAGGGGAAGGCTGCCTGTGAAGGTACTAGAATCACAGAGCTCCAGGCTTGTTTGTCTTAAGAAACTAGAACAGTAATTGTCAACCTGTGGGTCACAACATCAGATATCCTGCATAGCAGATATTTACATTGTGATTCATAGCAGTAGAAAATTATAGTTATGAAGTAGCAATGAAATATTTTTATGGTTGGGGACAGTACAACATGGGGAACTATATGAAAGGATGGCAGCATTAGGGAAGTTGAGACTCATGAACTAGAAGATTAAAGATCAGTGTCTTTTGCAAGGTTCTGTTACCTCATTTCTCTTTCTCAGTCCTCCTCATCCCCTATTCTCCACCCCAACACACTCATACTTTTTAGAAAGAACACAGACTAGGGGGTGGGGGTGGTAACCAGGTCAGATAATGTCACTTCCCATTTCTTCTATCTGTATACATGCTTTCAGCTGTTACATGGGAATTCACTTGACCATGATGAACATGGGAAGATACTGAAGCAAATGCTTTTTGGGTAGTCATCACAGAAGCACACTGTCTTCCTGACTGTAAGCCACAAGGACACTGGCACTGCCAGGTTGGAGGTGTTGCTATACCCTTGCACTCAATGGTATTAATGTAGGCTTGTCTCTAACTCCAGCTACCTAAACATCAGTGATTCTCTGCCTCAACTAACAGAATCCATAGGGATTCATTGCTTGAAGGCTCAGCAGCTCCAAGCAGTGCTCTCTGGTCTCTTGGCTTGAGGAGGCAATGCTGGAAATGATAAGTCAAAATAGTCAGCCCATGAGGCAGACTTGTTCTGAGACTACCATTGGCCCTGGCTACCAGTGGATGGGAGGCCTCATCCTTTGGGCTTTTCATTGGAAAAGAACATCAGGCTGAAAAAAAGCCCTAGTACCTGAGAACAGTTTGTCCAAAACAACGGGCAGTTCAGGCACCTGACACTCCTTATTTCTAGTGATTAGAGTAGAGCAAGAGACCCAAAAAGCATTCTAGAAACAAAAAGAGGGATGCAAGTCTAGCTATGGGGTTAGCATCCTTACTGGTACTAGATGTCACTCTTAAATGAACACTATGTTTCATGATCATATATACCCTCCATACTCTCTCTCCAAGTCCTCATAGAATCCTACCCCTGCACATATGCCCCTCACTGGACTCTCCCCAGTGAGTATAGTCCTATTGGTATTGCCTATATGCACATACATGTGGGGCCATCCAATGCAACATGGGGAACCCACCAGTGGCCAGACCCCCAAAGAAACGTGAATTTTCTTTCCCTGATAACCATCATCAACTCCCTAGCCAGGAGCCAGGGCTCAGGGTCCCTCTCCTATCCATGATGGAATTTTAACTGACATGATCTTGTGCAGGTGATCACTGCACCTATGAGTTCATGTCTGCAACATTCTTGTCATGTCCAATGAAATAATAAACAAAATTCAGGAATATAAATAAAATAATAAAATAAAGGATTTCATTTCTATTGGGATTGCTGTAGTATGTAGTTCTTCTAGATACAACTAAATACAGAAAGATACTTAGCATGGGATGAAAAAGAGACTCCAAAGGAAGTACTGAGGAAATCTTATAGCCTCACTGGAAAAGCAATAGTCAGGATTACACCTACACACAACACAGGGACAGGTATCAGTCAAAAGGGACTCTTCTCAAAAGCAATTTTCTTGGGAGGAAACAAAATCCAAGCAAAACTGTAAAATCAGAAAATGTTAAAACATAATCATTGGAAAGAAGGATCATCACACTTGCTCATTGAAAAGTCATCAAACATGTGGCCATTCAGAGCTGAAACCTTGGCACGCAACTTAGAGAATTATGAAAGGAATGGAGACAAAAAGGCAGTGGGCCTAGTTCAAGTTGCTTTCCCACATCATTCCTTGTAGAGGCATGATGGATCACTGAGCAAGCAAGTTGCATTTCCAGAAAATTCAGCAGACTTCCCTGTTGTCGGCCTTGGGTGACTTCAGGGTTGTGCACATCTGGAAAGTTCTAGAACAAAGCTCTCTTCTAATCTCTGTTGGGTTAACACTGCACTGTGTCCTTGACTAATCCTATTTTCAGGCTGCATAGTCTCATAGGATCTGCTTGGGTGGCTATACTATTTTGTCTTTCCCCTTCCTTGCTCACGTTCTACTGATAAAACCCATTTTGTGGCATATTAAATTGATTTCATGGCAACTGTTTAACATTCTCTTTAGCTGTATGCTCCTTGGCTCCATCTGGACCCCAGGACATGAATATCTTTAACATCCACACATTAAGTGCTCAGTCTGACAGCTGGTCCTCTGGCCTTTGGAAGGACCACTAGTCAGGGCAGTCTGGGGGGCTCACAGAACAAGGCCCAAGACATTACCTGGGGGGACATTAGCAGTAATGGTTCAATCTGGACCTACCCATTAAAGGACAATTGTGAGTCTTAAGTAGATGTCAGAGTCTGGAAATGTGCATTCAGAAGCCAAATCACCTTCTCAAAGAATCAATTTGGACCTTGAGAAAGACTTACCCATGCTTCCCTGGAGTAGGAACCAGGAGAATCTCTCTTCCAGCCTCATTGTGTGGCAGGAGCTGGGCAATGTATCTCCCAGAGGGCTGTAGATGTCTGTGTACTGAGACAGCCAGGGTGCAATGCTCACTGTTGCTTCTCATCCAAGGACTCAGGATGGCATGCTTGGAATCTGCGGAGGCATTCAGCAGGAGGAAGGAGCCTGGACAGAGGAAAGGAAAGCGATGTGAAGATACGTGCAAGCCGGAGGGCAAGAAGCAGCTCCGTGGAAGGGTACGAAGGTCAACAGCAGTGAACTGAGTTGTGCCAGGTGTCTCTTGACTTATTACTACATACCGAGCCCAGTCTGTTCTGGAGGAGGTAGATGGAAACCAGGGACATGGCCTTGAAAACCACTCAGGACAAAGTTCTAACCTGTGGTGGTTTGAATGAGAACCACCCATAGTCTCACAGATTTGAATGCTTGGTCACCAGGGAGTAGAACTGTTTGAAAAGGATTAGGAGGTGTGGTCTTGTTGGAGGATGTATGTCACTGGAGGTGGGCTTTGAGGTTTTCAAAAGGCCAAGCCAGGCTCAGTGAGTCTCCCTCTCTTCCTGCTGCCTGCAGATCTGGATGTAGAATTCTAAGCTACTTCTCCAGCAGCATATCTACGTGCATGTTGTCACATTCTCCACCATGATGACAATGTTCTCAACTTCTGAAACTATAAACAAGCCCAATTAAATGCTTTCTTTTTAAAGAGTTGCTGTGGTCATGGTGTCTCTTCACAGCAATACAATACTAAGGCATAAGCTTAGTGTCCCCTACTTAACTGGCTCTATATCCTTGAGCCTTGGGGTAGTTTGGTTTGTTTGCTCTTGTTTTTATTAATGAAACAGGAATAAAAGCATCTATTTCAAAGGACTTTTCTTTTGCTTAGTAGCTAAGTGATTTTAGGCAAAACAACAGCTCAACCTTAGAAGGTTTTTTCTTCATAATATATTTTTTATTCTTTAATTACTACTCATATTTACATATCCATCCCCCATTGCCTCACCCTCCCATCCTCCCATGTTCCCCACCAACCCCCCCAACCCACCTACCCCGGACTCCTCCCCAGGGATAGTGAGGCCCCCCACCAGGGACCTTCAAAGTCTGTCAGGTTTGAGAGGGTTTAGCTGAACCCAGGCATCTCCACAGCTCTGTTTCAGAGTGCAAGTTTCTGAGTCATGCGACTGTGCAACTGGTTTCCACAAAGCAGACCCTAGAAATCTCCATTGGTTCCACACTTGTGGCAGAGATTCCTTCTGGGATTAGCTGGATTCTAGCAGCAGAGGCCAGATGATCTACAAGAAACAGACATTCCTGGAGATTGCCACTTGCATAAAAAGCCTGGCAGCGTTCTGTTGTTCCAGGCACTCCCTGCAATGCATTAGTTTTACTTGCAGTGCTTCTGCATTGAACATTTCCACCAGCAGATGCTGCTCCTTTCGCAGCAGAGACTTAGTCTCTCGACCCCCGACTTCCCTCATGGGCACAAGCTAATGAGGGCTCAGCCTTCTCAAACCACCTCTGGTACTTGCCAAGCTCTCCTTCTTCACAATTCAATTGACCAACTCGGTAAATGAACTAATGGTTTGTGATGAAGAATGGTGAAGAAGAGAGAGCATAATCCTTACCAGGAGCAACATCCTGAGAAAGATGGCATTGCTCCAAGAATCGGAAACACTTGTAACATGCCAAAAGTAGGTAAAAATAACTTAAGGTTAAAATAAGGATGAAGTGAGTGTGAGGATACTTCTGAGCCAGGTCAAGGACATGTAATCAGTGCAGAATCTGCACTCTGTATCTGTCAAAACATTTCAACATGTTCTAAGGGCATTTGGAAAACAGCTCTGTAACTCTCACTACATAATCCATATCTAACCCTCAATTTACAGTGGAAGGGGAAGGTTCTTGTCATGGGCACACAGCACAAGAAAAGAGATTAGAACCCCAGACTCAGAGCTGGGCATGCCATTGAGTACAACCCTTCGCATCTCAAGAGAAGTAGACTATTAACCCAGGTGGAGCACTGATGGGTGCGAAGTGTTTTAAAGTCAGGACCAGCTGCCAGGCCTCCAGAATCCCAAGCCATGCTCTCCCCCAACATCTTCCTTGTCCCTCATTATACAGGCTCCTTTGCCTAAAATGTGGCTAGGGAAGCTCTGCCTGAGTGTATAGGTCAGGCACCCCAGGGAACACTTCAGAGACTAGGAGCAGGTGGGCACTGGGTCAGATCCCTTCCTTATTCACTTATTCTGTCTCTAGATTCCACTCACTGACTGATTATTTTGAGTCACCACCCAATCACAGGCTCTCCATTGGGGACACTGCCAGGAACAGGACAGCATTCCTAGAAACTCCAAGCCTGGCACAGATAAAGAGCTCTGTGCAAGAAGGATACTCAGAAGTAGAGGTTACCAAGTTGTAACACAGAGACTACAACAGATAAAGCACTTTGGGATCCTAGGAAGGAGGCTGTAGGTCCAGGTGAGAAGACACATAAAGAAAATCATCTTGACCCTAGGGGCTGGAGAGATGGCTCAGTATTTAGGAATATTTGCTGGTTTTTCAGAGGACCTGGGTTCTATTCCCAGTACCCATATTGCAGCTTATAACTGTCATTTGTAGTTAGATTTTTTTTTTTTACTCCTTGGGGTCTTCACCATCCAGCTCCCAAATAAATACATGGACACTATTCTTACTTATGAATACCTGGTCATAGCCTGGCTTGTTTCTAACCAGCTTTTCTAACTTAAATTATCCCATTTTTCTTTACATTTGCCTCTGAACTTTTTACCTTTTTTAATTCTATGTATCTTTCTTTCCTTCTTACTCTATGACTGTGTGGCTGGCCCCTAGCATCTGTCTCTCTTTCTCCTTTTCTCACTCCTCCCTTCTCTCTTCTCTTGAGCCTAGATTTCTCCTACTATTTATTCTTTCTGCCTGCCAGCCTACCTAGCTATTGGCCATTCAGCTCTTTATTAGATCAATCGATATTTTAGGCAGGCAAAGTAACACAGCTTCACAGAGTTAAACAAATGCAACATAAAAGAATGCAACACACCTTTACATCATTAAACAAATATTCCACAGCATAGATGAATGTAATACATACTCAACTAATATTCCATAACAGTCAGTAACTCCAATGCCAGGGGATCTGACATCCTCTTCTGAGCTCCGATGGCATGTGGACATACATAGATGCAGGCAAAACACCATATACAGAAAATAAATCAATAGTTCTAAAAAATTAAGAAGGTATCTTGACCCTGTATCTTTTTACAAAATATTTTAAATTTTATTTTTAAACTATGTGTGTGAGAGAGAAGGGGGAGGAGGAGGGACAGTGTGTGGGAGGATGGATAGAGAGAGAGAGAAAGATGAGAGAGATTAAGAGAACAAGAGCTGGATTGAGAGCATACACCTTGGTGCAGGTGAATGCAGTGCCCAGAAGGTGACAGAGCCTTTGGAGCTAGAGTTACAAGCAGTTGTGAGCTGTCCCAATAGATGCTCAGAACTGAGCTCTGGCCCTTTGCAAAAGCAGTCAATGTTCTCAACTGCTGAGCCACCTCTCCAACCCCTTGGCCCTGTGTCTTAAAGGGGGAGAAAAACACTGGTAACACCAACACATACAAATAAAAACATAACCGCAGAAAGACGCCTGGCCGAGTGTGGGAAATGTGGAGAGAAGGCAAAGAACAAAGATGGGCAGGGAAAGTGACTATTGGTCCCAGAGAGAGCATTGCATTTCTGGACAAAGATTTCTGCTGTTATTTTGTAGCTCATCGAGAGCCATATTTTGAGCAGAAGAGTGAGAGAATGAGAACAGTACTTGTAGAGGTCTCATCTGATGGTGTAGGAAGGGAGACCAGTACTAGCCATCTGGGTCATCCTCTACCACCAGTCCACATTAGGACAGGGTTGTGACTAAATTCAAGACCTTCAAAATGTTGCTGTTGTAAGGAAGGATGCAGGTTGCTGGTCTCTGGAAAGCCTGAGGTTTCCCATGTTAGAGTCCCATGTCACCATCCAGACTAGGTGAGGGTCCTGGAGAAAATCTCTCTTGACAGTCTTGCTCAGGATTCTTGGGGATACTTTCTGAGATTACAAAGAAGACTGTCCTATGTCTCATGTGTTAATTTCTAAATAAAGGAGCAATAGCTGTGCGCTGGGCTGAGACTGAGTTAAAAGCCAGCTGATTCTGAGATGCAGAAGGGTTAGGGTGAAATGAAGGCAGTGTCCCCGTTTCCTGGAAGATCACATACATATGAACACAAAGGACCCTCAAGAATCCAGCAGAGTTCCTGGGATTTGGATCTGGGGCCTCTCCTGCAGTACTGCTCTCCACTCTGGGTGTGGGAACACATGGGGTTCTGCCTCTGTAATTAGTGTTACAGTACCTCAATAATGGGGCTTTCTCAAAGCTGACTGGGGGAACAGATTCTTTTTCCACTTCTAATAAGAGAGATGATGTTTACATGAATTTTATTTTGTGCAACTGGACTATCAATAAGAGAGCAGGCTTAAAGTATTTTCATTCTCAATGAAACTCTGTAGCAGAGTGCTATCTTTTCATCGGCAGTTTCCTCCACCCAAAGAAGGAGAAATACATTTCATAAGCTCCTTGGATGTTGTCAGTATAAATCTCTTAAAGTCAGTGAGGATCTCTCTCTCTCTCTCTCTCTCTCTCTCTCTCTTCCTCCCTCCCTCCTTCTCTCTCATTCCTATTTATTTTGCTCAGAATAGCTTGGAGCTAAGAGAAGTCTCCTGGGGTCCTGTCTAATTAAGAAGGAAAGCCTGGCCACACCCAGGCCTTCATCCAGGGCAGCCACAGGGGAGTAGAGATGCAGATGAAAGGGCCTGGCCACACAGTGGCTGCCTCCATGTTTCCTTTAGTGTAGGTGACTGACAGTCTTGCTTTCTCCTTGTTGTTCTCCTTTCAACCAACAGAGCCTAAAGCATGAGCTAGAAATCTAAGGTCATGAACCAAAAAGGTTAAAGGTCATGATGTCAGAGGTCAGACAACTGCGTTCAATACAGGCTCTACTTCTGTCTCCTTATAAGCCTTAGAAAAGTGACTTAAAGTCTCTAAGTCTTTAGTTTGCTCTAGTTTAATAAATCTACCTTAAGTACAGCTACTATGAGGATGAAATCATATGGCAGGCACAAGTGAC